ATGCTGGGGAATTCTGGTAGCTGAAGTCCACATATCTTAAAGTTGCCAGGGTTGAGAAACACTGTTGTATACTGATGTCTGGCTCTGTACAATGGTATCACAAATGCAGCAAAGCATGCTGTCCCTGATACTGATATTTGAAGGGAAAAATTATGCTGTTGGATGCTGGGTTTATTTTATGAAATAAATATTCAGATGTTTTATGTATGCTAGTTCCAATATTGTCTTCTCATGTATTTCAGTAAGAATTCAGGAAATGAGCTACAGGTTTATTATGCTTCACCACGAAATTACCAAGATTTTTTTGATGCAATTCACAGAAGGGGAGATACATTCTATGTGGTGTCGTTCCGTAGGGTAAGTATATTACAGTGCTTACAACGTTCAGCCATTACAAACATGGAAAGTTTGTCCATTTTTATAACTTTCTCCTCCGAAGAACTCCTGTAGTTTTTTAATGAGGCTAGTCAGTAGATCTTATAAGTATCCTCAGTATACAATTCCTGAGCTTTCTTTAGGAAGAAATAATAATGCCTTGATTATGAAATTATATTATAACCTGTTCTAAGAATTGTTCAGTTTTCCTATGGAAAAAGAAGGAAAAATTTTCTCCCAGTAGATTTGATCAGAATTTACTGTGCTCCTAAGGAAAATGGGAACCATTATTCTTTATTGGGAGAAAGAGATAAGAGAGCATAAACAGTCACTCTTAAGATTCATACTTGAAAAAATCAATACATATTCAGAAAAAGAAATCATATAATTTTCTCTTGTGCAAATGGATCTGTGCTGGAGCCAGGTGTTTTTCTTCAGTGATGTTAAAGTTACAGTAATATCTGGGGTTGGGCAGCCAATGAATTTAAATAAATAAATTTAATTGGCATCACATCTTCCAGGTATTTGTAGTGGTTTTGCTTCAGGAATCAGGATAGCAGTTCCTTTTGCTAGCAAAATGTCATAGTAGAATAGGGAGTGAAATTATAATCGGGGCCTTGACATCTTATAGAGACTGATTTGTACACGAGAGGACAGCAACAGGAAACATCTGTTTTTATATCATATCTCCCATCCCAGTAATAATTCCCAGAATAGAAGCTGAGTCTCAGTAAACTATTTTTTTTAATTTCTCCTATTTTGTTTCTTGGAAATTATCAGTCAAAGCAAAATGTATGTTTAATTATCAAATGGAAGAAGAGTTAATGGAATCATGCTATAGCTACATTGTTTAGTTATCCCAGTATCTGTCAGCAGATGGAGATAATGCTTAACTTTACTTTAAGACACTTGTTTTTCAAACACTCTGCTCCAAGAGTTGATATTTTTCCTCAGTTTGCCTGCTGAAGAACCTTTGTACATTATGATGGATTCTGAGAAATATTCTAATATGCTCACTGTTGCTCCATGTATGTAATATCTGTTGGTTCACTTTTCATCCAATAATTGCATCTTGCAGGCAGCTCTTGTACTCTTTGACATCTATTGGTTAGTCCTTTAATTTCTCTCTTCTGAATAGGACTTTGAGTAAATGGTGGCATCATGGATAAACCACACAGAGGGACTGCATCCCTATTGGTTCCTTTAGATCAATGTTTCTCAACCTTGGCAGCTTCAAGATGTGTGGACTTCAACTCCCAGAATTCTAGTCCACAATCTTCAAGCTGCCAAGGTTGAGACACACTGCTTTAGATGATGATGATGATGACCACCACCACCAGTACCACTGGCACTGCATTAAATTTATTTTTCACTTTTCCTCTGGGAGACCCAGGGGTGGGGATTTGAAGAAGATTCTGTGTTACAGTAGTTCCACTTGGCTGAGCAACCTGGTCATAGGGAAAGATTGCTTAGACTTCAGCCAGTGGGATTTTCAGACCTCTATTCCCCATGTTTTTAACTTGAGAGAAAGACTGCAGGCTTGAAGGAAAGCTGCCATTTGCTGTAGGCAATATTAAGTTAGAGCCAGTTTGGTGTAGTGGTTAAGGCACCAGGTTAGAAACTGGGAAGATGTGAGTTCTAGTCCCTCAGGCACCAAGCCAGCTGGGTGACCTTGGGCCAGTCCCTCTGTCTCAGCCCTAGGGAGGAGGCCATGGCCAACCACTTTTGAAAAACCTTGCCAAAGAAACTGCAGGGGCTTGTCCAGGCAGTCGCCAGAAGTCAAAAACTGACTTGGAGGCATTAAAACAAAAACACTAAGCTAGGCGGACATAGTTCCTGTGAGAGATCGTCTGGAATTTGGGGCTGGGTTTCTTCTGCATGCAAATACACAGCTCTATCTCCCCCGCCCCCCCTTAAGCCACTGCTGTTGAATACAGTAAAGGACTAGATATGGTAAATCAACTGGGGCTCATTTCAGAGAAAACCAAAATTCTTAGATGTTCAGTAGATGAGACAACACAGGATTGGGTTAGGGTTGTACTCCAATTAAAGGATTAAGTATGCCCTTTAGGAGCCTATGTCTTACATTTTTCAAGATCAGAGAAGACAAATTTTTGGTTTAATTAAGAGCACCTGTTTCTTTACAAAAGTAACCAGTAAATGGAATATTGAAATAGTGTTTTAATAATAGTCTTTATTTTTGCTTTTATGTAATACATAAATTATAAATTTTAATGGGCTATATGAGCTTGCATATTGTGGCAAATTTCATCAGTGTCTTGAAAAATGTGGAGTTAATATTCAGCCTATTTCAATATTTGGTTGATATTTGGTAAGTGATAAAAATCCTTTTTTCATAGAGTCACAGAAGTAGAAGGGACCGTTTAGTCTTTTGAGTCAAAACCCCTGCTCAGACCAGGAATCCAAATGAAAACATGCTGTTTGAGCACATCCAGTAAAGGGAAATTATCTCTGATTCCACTGTCAAAGTGTTGTTCTTATTAGAATCTTTTTAATATAATGTCACCTTCTTCTTTTGTTTGGTTTTAAACTATATGCAGAATTTCATTGACTTTCCACACTTTAAAGGATGTGATCGTACCTAGTATCTGTATTCTAATACACATATGCAAACATATATAAGTCAAAATTCACTAGTACTGTCCACACCTAGTGGTTTTTTGTTTGTGTGTGTGTGCTTTGAGATCCCTGTTTGTATCAGTTGTTTTTTCTGACTGGAATGTATGCATGAGCATGTAGGTACTTACTGACTTAGGATTTTACTTAGTCTAGTACGTATATTTGGAATGTTAAAAATACACGTTCTGAGCACTCTCTCAGAATGACTGATTGAGGAGAGGACTTGCTCATTCAGAAAGGGTTGCCATGGCAGGCATGGCTAGTTACAAAACATAAATTTATCAAAATATAAATTGATGAAGTTTTTGCCTGCTGTTTCTTCTCGTTCCCCCAAGATGTTTCCTACCACTCCCAGCTTAAGGTTAGATAAAATATACTTCATCTTAAGCTTGATTTCTGGTGCCTTCAAAGATATATTTATGTAATTTTCTTAAAAACGCTAGAGAAGTTATTTGCTTTTGCCTTCTTCCAAGAGAGAGAAAGAGACATGTACTTTCTTGCCTGTCCTACATCCTTGTTATTCCCTGAAGGTCTCCCTTCCAAATACTAACTAGATTTAACCTTGCTTAGCTTCAGAGTCCACCTTACTTTTACTATATTTCTGGGCAGATAAGGGCGCTTCCAGGCACATTTGCAGCTGGCTTGCAGCTTGCAGCTGTCTCCTCTACTACAATTTATTTTTTCTTTTTCTAATGTGGAGTCTACGTGAGGAGCCGAAGAATAAACATTTTGATAGAAGACTATTGTATTTTGCAGCATGCCAATTTCCTGATTAACTTTAAAAAGTATAACAATTTTTTTGAAAAGCAAAGTGGCAGGTGTCAACAGAGGTGCCTCCTGCTGCATTTTTAGTTTTGAATTCCTAGCTTACTAAATGATACTATGCAAGTTACACACATCCTTCATAAGCTATCTTAGATAAAAGGAGGATTTACAAATGTTGCCTTTGGCTCCCTGAAAGAACAGAATAATATTTCCTGTAATATCTGCTTAGATCCAGTGGTCTTTTCAGTGGAACAAGTTTGCATACCACAATAGTTAGAAGACGAGAGATGTACGTATTGTTCTGAATCAGTTATACTGTATGGCTTATCATGTGAACATATTTTTGTTTCTGCTTAAGAAAATCTTGGTTTAAAATTTAAACAGAGAACAAAGTACTGTATACTTTGATATGCTAAATAAAAAAGTTTTTGAGTGATACAGTACTTATTCTCAAGATCTATTTCTGAGATACTTATGCCGTAACAAATAATTAAAGCAGTGCACAAATGGAAATTGGTTTCATTATTAAAGAAAACGATTTCTCAAGATAATTTACTTGGGGTACCTCAACCAACAAATTCCAGTGATCAGTCTAGAACCTTATTCATCTTCTGTATACAGGATGATTAAAATGAAAGAAAGACAGTTGCATTTAAATGACAGGAAGTAATTTAGCTGCAAGTGTCTTTAATACCAAACGAGCTAAGGGAGAGTATGGACTGATTTATTTACATGCTTGTATCAGTTTTCCCATAATTTCCCAATGTATTGCACCAATTTTCCAGTCTACAACTTTGAGAAGAGCTTTCATATAATGTTCTTTTCTTTTTTAAAGGCCTTTATGTGTTACAGATATTTTAATGAAAGATGCAAATACAAAAAACAGGGCTATAAAGTTAGGAAACTGCTAAATCATGCCCCATTTGGAATTTTTACCAGATGAAAACTCAGGTCATAGTGCAACTGGAGAGCTTCTGCAAATTCTTGAAGCTGGCAAGCAGATCCAAGTGTGTTAGAGTATTTATGCCGTGACCTATAATCATTGTGGTTTAATCCATCTAGTTTGCACCTCAATATTATTATTTTCAAGCAATAGGGGATAGATAGTTTCTCCTCTTACATATTTCCAGTGAGGTGTCAAAGTTTAATCAGCTTGCAAGCTTTTAGAGGTGGAGGCACAATTTTACTTTTACTCTGTAAGAATCTATAATCCAGATGGAGTAAAGGATTAGATTTTTGAATCAAATGCCACCTTTTGTTGTGATCATTATATTTCAGTTTTGTTGTTGCAAAATAAAAGGAAGTGTACCAGGCCTTTTTTTTTTTTTTTTGAGGAGGAGGAGGAGGAGGAATATGCATCAGTATCCTTTACTTAGCCAAACTCAGGAAAGATCGGTATGTCTACTGAAAGGTTCATTTTTGCAATTCTGAATGGCTACTTGGAATCTACTTGAATTTAAGAACCCAAATATGTCAGTTCAAAGAGTCCTCTCTGTCCAGCAAGAGGGAGAAGAATTTTGCTGTTTACTCTCTCTCAGTGAGCCTTAATTTTGGTTTGAGTACAGTTGGCAAAACTG